ATTTGGAAACCCCCAGTCTACCATTTCTACTTTCCAAGGAAGTGTTCTATTTTCCTCCTTTGCTGACTTAGGAGTGCTAAAATGGTATAAGAAACTTCACTTGGGACAGGACTAGCATCTGATCCACCCTCACATATACTTTCACTTCCTTATTTTACGAACTTTACAGCTTGGACTAATTATTGTAACAACTTCCTGCTCTCTTTTCTCTTTCTGCTGACACAGGAACATTATTCTGATTCATTCCTGACCTACTAGTACTAGTGGGAGTACAAGTTTAGTATAGTACTAGTATAATCCATGTATTGAACTAAAAAGATGTGCTCTAGATATTTACTTTCTCTTTCTTAGAGAAACATTTTTCTTCATATTACAGCAGTCTATATTACTAAACAAATTAAAAGCATCTGAAACAATGTCCAAACTTTTCAGTTTTAAAGAACTTTCATAACAGGTTAGATAAATCAGAAAAACCAACCTGTAGTTACAACATATAAACATTATTCGAGCAGTAGCTTGAAACCAAGACAGTAATTTGGAGCTGTTTGGTGAAGTCCAACCTTTCGAATGCTGTAATGTTTCTTGTAAATGCTAAATTCTTGGGCGATGAAGAAAATGGAGAATGTGCTAGAAAAGCCTGAACTCAATCCATCTAAAACAACTGGCATCAGTGTTAAAGTCTTAGGAAGTGTTCTGTTAGTCCTTGCTTCTAAATTCTAGTTGGGTTCTGCAAACTGGTCAGTACTGACCACTAAAAGCCGCTGTGGTTATTCAAGGGTGGGAATGGACAGATGGTTGAGGATCAAAAGAGTGTTGATGAATGATGGAAGGTCAACTGGGCTCAATTATCCTTTTGAGATCTCTGTAGAATTTCATACCAGTCCTTAATCCTGAAGGTAAAATTTATCTATTTTCTATTAGTATTGTTTTCTTATTATTAATAATACTATTAGTTAAAGCAATATTAGTTAAATTATTTTCATATAGTGTTTGGGGGCTTATAAACAATCTGAAACTTTACAAAGGAAGTGTTGATACCTCTCTTCTAGGCAATTAATTTTCAAGCATGTAATCTAATTTAGTGTTTTAAAGCAGAAATTATCAGATATTCTTAATTTACAATTTACCTTTAATAATAGATATGTTCTGCTTATTATGCTCTGGATGGGTATAAAGCAGACAGAGCAACTCCACAAAGCATCCATACAAAGTCTTTTTTATTGGTTCATTAGGTATCCTTATCAACTCTCAATTCAACAGCTCTCAATTCCTAACTAACTATGCCAAATCCCATTAACTCCAAACTGTCTGGACAGCACAAGATAAAACATATGGAAGGAAACTTTTTAATTATGTCCTTTAAGTATAATAGTTATAATTAACTGCTTAACTAATTAATTATTTAGATTATTATTTATAAAAATAATAAAGGCAGGATATAAATAAATAACCAGTCAATTAACAAGATTATAAAAACCATTTGACATGCATCAGAAAACAACTTTTTTGTTAATTTGATTATGTTACACATCACTTACTTTGATTTAAATAAATCCAACCTTTGTGTACCAACAACTGAAAAAAGTTTCTATTATAAAAAAAAAAAATTATTTTTTTTTTGCAGCTAAAATGAAAGCCAATTTGAAGCAATTTTCCCAGTTTCCCTTCAGTAAAAATGCACTTAATGAGTGTAAATAAGACCATTTTATTTCATTTGATTTTTAAACATAGAATGGCATTAAACATAAAATGGCAGAGCTAATGTGAGCTGTCGGGGTTCTGAACAGACATAGGAATGATTTACGAGTTGCCATGAGGGATTTTGTGTTTGCCACTGCCTCTTACACCAACCTATATGACTGAGTGGTTGTAGGGAAGGATAGGAGTAGGGAGTGCTATGAATATTTCTGAGTGAAAGGCAGAATATAAACATGAAAATAATGTCAAATTATCCAAAGTAGTATGCCTTAAACTTCAGTTGTTGGAGGGGGACAATAGGAGGAAGAAGAATATATTGTATACTGGTTTAGGCTTTCAGGGTTAGTAGGTATGTATTGGGTAGGGTTGAGTTTCAAGGTTTAGTGACTTTGATCTAGACACAAAAACCAAAGACACAAAGTTTCTTATGTTTCACTGCCAACTCTGTTTAGATTAGGGTCGCTAAACCCTGAAACCCCTTTACCCAATGATGGGAAAAGTGTTACTGCTTTCTGGAGCTTATGCACTTGGTTTGAAAAGGTGTGATCCAGCATGGTTCCTGTTATCTAAATTGCCCAGAGAAAGTCCACTTTGCTTGCTCTAAATCAGTGGTTCCCAAACGTTTTTGGTCCGTTGCCCCCTTGGTGCTACAAACTCATCCTTGGTGCACCCCACCCAGGGGTGGAATTCAAATTTCTGTGGGTGTGGCCTAATTTGAGGGTGTGGTTTGCTGGTCACATGACTGGGTGAGCGTGGCTTGCTGGTCATGTGACTGGGTGGGCATGGCCAGGTGACTGGCAAACCAAATACAAGTGGTCCTCACTTAAATGACCCGTTGTTTAGCAAGTGTTCTAATTTATGACTGGCCTCCCCAGAGCTACTTGACCAGTTTTGGGAGTTTTGACAGCTTTAGATCAGGGGTCTAAATCCCACCCCTGCCTGTGTGTGAGAGAGAGAGTGGGAGAGAGAGGTTGGATCAGATCTCTCTCACTCTCTCTCTCTCCCACCAACGCCAGAAAGCCACCGTCAGTCAAAATTCATATTAGTGGTCTCCGGGATTTAAAATTATGAGTTTGGTGGTCCCTGAGGTCCAAAAGTTTGGCGATCCCTGATCCAAAGGGATGAGCCTGAGAGGGGGAAAGAGAGAGAACAAAGAAAGAGAGGAAGGAAATAAAGAGAAAGGGGAAAGAAAGAAAAAGGGACAAAGAAAGGGGTGGTGGTGGAAGGAAGGGACAGAAAGAAAAATAAATAAAGGAGGGAGGGAGGGAGAAGAAAGATGATGAGATATCTATTCTAGTCCAATCACCTGCTCCAGCAGGGTTAGAAGGGCGTGTGTGCTTGTGTGTGTTCTCCTTGTAATTTACCAGTTCATTTTGGTTTTGCCTTCTTCAGGATTGGCACTGTAATACATTGGGGAAAAGTAATTTTTAGGGTGGAGATCTGGTCCAATGGATCTGTTTAAAGCCTCAACAAAATGTGAGAGCTTCCTAATAGTCTTGGCCATGTTTCATCCACAAAACCTTTAATAGAAACCAAAGAGGTTTCAATGTGCTGGCAAAGATGTTTCAATGTGGAAAAGGGCCTCAGTCTAAACTAGGCCTCATTCAATCTGATGCATCAGGTCTCTCTCTTTCTGTCTCTTTCTCTCTCTCTCTCCCTCCCTCCTTCCCTCCCTCCCTCCCTCTCAGACTGGCTTTGCTCTACTTTCCCGATGTGCCTGCGGGCCGGTGCTTTGAACATGGATGAATGGATGGATGGATAGAGAGACAGGCAGGCAGGCAGGGAGGAAGGCAGGCAGGCAAACAGACAGACCTTTTGGGTGGATGGATGGATGGACAGACAGAATGCGACAGCGGCAGCACTTTGGGAAAGCGGTGGCAGTGGCTTTTCCCAACGTGCTGCCGCATTCGAGGCACCGGTTCTGGAGCATTACTACAGTCAATGGGTGAACCTGTAGGGCCAGCACCTCGAACGCCCCCCTGCCGCCTCTTAGCGTCCCCAAGGGGGCCAGCAGAGGGGGGCTAAGAGGTGGCAGTGGGGTGTTCGAGGAGCCGGACGGCCCTGCAGTTTCACCCATTGAGTAGCACTGCTCTGGAGCCGGCGCCGCCAATGCGGAAGCGGTGGCATGTTACATGCCGCCACGGCCGTGTTCGACGCGCCACCTCTCTGCCGTCTCTTAGCGCCTTTCTGCTGGCCCCCTCGGGGATCCTAAGGGGTGGCAGGGGGGCATTCGAGGCACCAGCCCTGCAGTTTCACCCATTGACTAGCACTGCTCCAGAGCCGGCGCCCCCAATGCGGAAGCGGTGGCACGTTACATGCTGCCACAGCTGCGTCCGACACACCGCCCCTCTGCCGTCTCTTAGCGCCTTTCTGCTGGCCCCCTTGGGATGCTAAGAGGTGGCAGGGGGGATTCGAGGCGCCGGCCCTGCAGGTTCACTCCTTGACTGTAGCACCACTCCGGAGCCGGCGCCTCAACCGCAACCCTGAACGCTCCCGTGCGGGGGGGGGGGGGGGGGGGGGGGGGGGAGGCGGCATGAGAAAATGGACGCGTGGTCTTTCCATTTTTTTACTGCACAGATCAAAATTAAAAATTAAAACACTGCAATAAAATAAATAAAATAAAGAGCAGAACAAGTAATGTGTAATTAGTGCTGAGATAATAGAATAACAGAACAACAGTGGCCAAGTCTGGCTAATTTTACAGCCAGTAAAGCAGAATTCCGCTACATTCAAAGAAACGGTATCCTATTGATCTGATAGTAATCGCTATCCATAAAAGAGATCAGAATTCCACGGATATTTTGCCAGGTAACATATTATAAAACTAATCCTTGGATTCTTGTAGAAGACGCAATTTAACAGAACGTGAGCTGTGGTTCCAATGGACTCTTGTCATTCTCAGCTTTGTTATCGGCCCGCCAGAACTGCTGTGGGGAGAGCGTTAGAAGTGCTAGAGTTGATCTTTGGGGAACGTTTCAGTCCTCGAGAAGCGGAAGGACTAAAAAGTTTGTCCTGCCGTCAATGCCATCTCAGGTGCATCATAAAATCCTCACAACATACTTGTATTCTTTTTTTTTCCTTAAAAGTTTGTGCCCTGTCTAACCTGGCATCCGAGGAGGCAGCCTGGGTCGCCAAAACGGACGAGACCCCTATCAAACAACCTCTTGTACACAGGGAGAGGCTCGTTTTTAAGAAGACCCGACTCCGTTTCGGCCAGCCAAGCCAAGATCAGAGCCCGGAGCGGAAAATAACGGCCCCGGGGAGGGGGGGAGGGGGGCGCAGCAAAGGGAGAACTTCCTTACCTTTCGCAACACAGAGCGCGGTTGCTGCCCACAGGAGAGGACACAGGAGATGTTTCCGGATAGTCATATTCAGTATTGAATACTGAATATCGCAAGTAAAAGTGGGTGAAGTGACGAAACAAACTGGTCGTCTCTTCCTGTTTGCCGATCGTCCAGGAAATGTTTCGTATGAAACATTATTCTGGGACTGCGCCTCTTTGAACTTTGCTAGTCCTCTGAATACCACAGTAGAGAGCGAAGACCAGCAGAGAGCAGACCCAACCTGCTCAAAGAGCAATCTGTCCGGTTTGTTAACTCTTCTCAATCTGCCGGATGGTAGGACGTTTACTAAATGCCGCAGCCGTTGCTCCTCTCCTCTCCCCTCGCTTGCTCATTCAATTTATAATGAATGATTCATTTAACAACATTAAGCTCATGCAAAGAAGATCTCCGTAGTAGCAATCCAACAAACCAGTAGAGACAAAACCTAACATTCTAATACCTATGTAGCTCCAGATACAATTATTCACAGAACCCATACTGACCCACACCAAGGCTCATGCAAGGGAACAGCCCACGGTTCAGAGTCTATGACAGCTCCTCAAGTACTGGAAGACACCTTTCATGTCCTCCCTAATCTTCTTTGGTAGACAAGACACATCCAATTCCACAATGATTCATCATACAATTTAGCCTCTGGACCCCAGAGGTGGCATTCAGCAGGTTCTGATCAGTTCTGGAGAACCGGTAGTGGAAATTTTGAGTAGTTCAGAGAACTGACAAATACACCTCTGACTGGAGATTTTACAGTATCTTCCCCTGCCATGCCCACCAAGCCACGCCCACAGAACTGGTAGTAAAAAAAATTTGAATCCCACCACTGCTAGATCCCTTATCATCTTTGTTGCACACTTTCCAGTTCAGGGGTGTTAAACTCACGTCATCACAGCAGCATCATGTGACATATTGGAACTTGTTTCCCCTTCACTAAACCGGGCATGGGCCTGGACAGCACATGACACATCCGGCCCACGGCCTGGGAGTTTGCCAGCCCTGTTCTAGGGGCTCAGCATCCTTTTTGTACTGTGGTGACCAAAAGCAGTATTCCGAGTCTGACCTCACTGGTGCAATATAAAGCTTGTGATCTTGATGCTATCCCTTGTTTGTTTTAGATCATTTATAAAGCCACCTACTCGCTCACAGTGACTCTAGGTGGCTTACAGATAAATCTGTTAATGCACCGGCCTTCTTGGCAGTAGCAGCACACGGCTAGCTCATACTTATGTTGCGGTCTGTTAGAACACCTAGATCCTTCTCACTGTTAATACTGTTGAGCCAGTCTGAACCAACTTGATATGACTTTGAAGACACCGTTTTATTATTTTTATTTCAATTCTTAGGTGATCCGATGGATATAAAGGCAGGATATAAATGACAATTAATGAATGAACAAATAATGTCCTATTGAAATGGGTGATGAATGTGGAGTAATTATCTGTATCAATTGTTAAGTATACCCACCATTCAAAGCATCCAAGACCTACAAGGCTTAGTAGACCAGCGAAATACTGTGAACATAATATACTTAGGCTTCAGCAAGGCATTTGACAAAGTAGACCACCACCTTCTTCTTGGTAAGCTAGAAAAAAAGTGGAATAGATAGCACCACCACTAGATGGACTCGCAACTGGTGGCAAACCATACTCAACGAGTAGTCCTTAATGGGTTTAGGTCTACGTGGAGGGAAGTAAGCAGTGGGGTGCCACAAGGTTCCGTCTTAGGCCCAGTACTCTTCAATATCTTCATTAACAACTTAGATGATGGAATAGAAGGGGAACTTACCAAATTTGCAGATGATACTAAGCTGGCAGGAATAGCTAACACCCTAGATTAGTGATGGCTAACCTTTTCGTTGTTGCATGCCGAAAGTGTGCATGTGCACTTACACACACACACATGCCTGCACCCATAATGCAATGCAGGTGCAACCCCCCAACCCCTGCGCATGCATGCATGACACCCCCATGTGCGGTGCACAGCTCTGCGCATGAACGTGCATCTCCTACCCGCCCCCGCACATGCACAGCAGATACCCAACAATCAACTGGCTGGTGGGAGGTGCGCGCACATGCACAGTGGATCTGTTTCGGGCGACGGCTCATGTGCCGGCAGAAATGGCTCTGCATGCCACTTCTGGCACGCGTGCCATAGGTTCAATATCATGGCCCTAGATGATAGGCTCTAGATCCAGATGGCCCTTGACAGACCAGAACACTGGGCCATACGTAACAAAATGAAATTCATTGTAGAGAAAGGTAAAGTTCTACACTTAGGCAAGAAAAATCAAAAGTACCCATATAAACTGGGTGAAACCAGGCTCAATAGCAGTAACTGTGAGAGGGATCTTGGAGTCTTAGTGGACAACCAGCTAAATATGAGCCAGCAATGTGCAGCAGCAGCCAAAAAAGCTAATGCAATCCTAAGTTGCATTAACAGAGGGATGGAATCAAGATCAAGTGAGGTACTGTTACCACACTATAAAGCCTTAGTAAGACCACCCCTAGAATACTACATCCAGTTTTGGTCACCACACTATAAAAAAGATGTTGAGATTCTAGAAAGAGTGCAGTGAAGAGTGACCAAGATGGTTAGGGGACTGGAGACTAAAATATATGATGAATGGTTGCACGAACTGGGCATGGCTAGTCTTGTGAATAGAAGGGCCAGGGGACACATGATAGCAGTGTTCCAATATTTGAGGGGCTCCACAGAGAGGAGGGGTTCAAGCTATTTTCCAAAGCACCTGAAGGCCAGACAAGAAATAATGGATGGAAACTGAATAAAGAGAGGTTCAACATGGAAATAAGGAAAAAATTTCTGACAGTGAGAGCAAACATATAATGGAACAGCTTGCATTCGAAAATTGTGGGAGTTTCATCACTGGAAACTTTCAAGAATAGACTGGACTGCATTCTGTTAAAAATGGCGTAGGGTCTGCTTAGACGGGGGTTTGGACTAGATGACCTACAAGGTCTCTTCCAACTGTATTAATCTGTGTCTTAGCCTTCTCCCAAATTCCAAAAAAACCAATTCCCCCTTCCCCATTAATCTCTTGTACTCTAGCAACTACAAAGGGAATGCAGTAGAACTGTGTATCCAGACAACATTCTTTACACCAACTGACCTAAACCCATAACCTTGGTTTCAGATCTCCAGTCAATTGCCAGTCATCCCTGTCTTTGAAGAGGAGATGGTAAATAGTACTTTGATACTTTGCCCAGATGGTTATGAGGCTTGGATTCATTTGTGTTTGCCCAGCAAACTAAACAGAGAGCTATTGAAAAGAAACCATTCTTGAAAACAAAACAAAAAACAGGGCTTGTAACTCCTCCTCCTAGCATATTCCTGCAATTGAATACATTCTCTTTCCACAAATGGTATTGCAGGCAAAGAAAGATGAACATCCCAATTCTTCTCTCATCCCAAAATCTAAGAGCATCTGGATAATTGACCACATTTTTAAAAAATAAACAAGAAGGACTGGAATTCATACACTGTTCCATTTACTTTGGATTTCATCATCTACTAAAAGGTCCTGCAAGAATGAATATGAATCTCAGAAGATGGCTGGCCTTAGTACTCATGGTACAACTACTTTTCATCTTCGCAGGTAAGGAAATTATGGGTGACTTATTCAGATGGCAAGCACCATTTTTTAAACAAAATTATAAAAAGCTCTGAGCAATTTCAAGTTTAACATATATTTGGGTAAATTGGTGAAAAGCTTAGATGAAAAGATTATGTAAAAGCAAGTCTGGCTGAAGAAATAAAAAACATTGCTCTGATAAAAGTAACTACTGTACTGCTTTTCAAATAGTTTTCGGGAAGTTGCTCACTACAGTCCTGAACAAATGTAATAACTGTTAGATAATAATGTTGTTATGGAGCCATACCTGGAAAGAAGCAGAAATCATTGGAAAGCTTTTGCAATGGAAGGATGCAAGAAGATGGATTCCTGACAATGAATGTATCAAATCTCTTTTCTTAAAAGCTTTGCCAGTGAGGTGGCCACTTTTATTGACGACAGCTAATGATTCAGGGTGTCAAAAAACAAAAAGGGATGAGGCAAGAAATTCCAAATTCTGTAAAGTGGATGAACTTTAATAAACAGCAAAAGCCTCTAAAATCAAGGACACAGAAATAAGATTGGACAACACTCCATCACACATACAGTACAAGCCATGCACACACTTTTTGCAAAATTCTTCATTGAGGACCATGAAATATTTGGGAGAGCAAAACTCAGAATATTCTAATTTGCAGGACACACTGTGGCAGAGAGAAATGTATGCAAAAGGAACAATTTTTGGGGGCTTTTAGTTATATGGATTCAATTATCTTTTTAATAAAGGAACAGAAACAAATGAAAATGAACATTCTTTTCTTTCAGTTTTAATGTTATGGTAACAACTTATCTTTCAAATAATAAAACAGAAACAGATATAAGTAATAGTGATAGGTTTCATATTCATGAGAACTAATTAGATGTGAACTTATGAAAGAGGGTATATTTTAAAGCAGGGGTGTCAAACTCACGTCATCACGGCAGTGTTACTTGACGTATCAGGACTTTTTTCTCCTTCGCTAAACTGGGTTTGGGTGTGGCCAGGGCATGACACATCCAGCCCAGGGGCTGTGAGTTTGACAAGCCTGTTTTAAACATTTAAACCAGTCTTACAAGGATTTGAATTAATAGCTTTCTGCACTTACATTGAGGATGCTAGTTGAAAAAAATATAAACGTGTCTATTTATTTTTGAGGGTCATTCATTCATTCTACATACATGTATGCATACATACATGCATACATATCATGCCTTCAGTTGTGGCTCAGTTCATCAATATCTCCAGATGCTGATGAACAAAGGTATTTCTCCTAAGTCTACTAAGGCCTGATAGCCATGAATGCAATTACCCACTTGGGAAAGAGGCATTAAATGTTTCAATTATAAGATTACTTTCAGTACTTTCAATGTGAATGCTAGTATTTTGACAGTCATCTGAGCTTAGAAATTATTCACTCAGCAAAAGCTGGATTCATGTGAGGATCTGAACAATTGTATAAGAAAAATTGAGGGTCTCAAGAAAGAAAATTTTAGTTAACTTAATTTCTAAGGTTACAGTTTTAGGAATTAT